GGAGCTGGGAGGGGGGGGGTAAGGGGGTTCAGCCAGCCGTCTGGGAATGTCTCGGAGGGTGGAAACTTGGCCCGCCCAGCTTGTGAATTTCATTATCAAGAGTAAGGTTATTCAACTGAGGGAACACAACGCCGCCGCCGCCGGCGCGTCTCGCGCCGCTGCAGCCGGGCGTTGGTGGTGGTCGCGACCCCCGCCGCGGGACCCGCCCGGGACCCCGCTGGACTATGAGCGACCACGAGACCGAAAGGGGGTGAGACGTCGTACAATTGCGGCTAGCTGAACCTGCATGACGTTTTCAGGTCCCGTGTCACGGACACCAAGTTACGAAGGGGGGAAAATTGAAGTTGACTGACTTAGTCTCGATGATTCATCGACTCCGGGGACTCGCGGCCTCATTCCACGTTGCACCCGATGTGACAGTATACTTTTTTAGTTGTGTATGGTGATGGACAATTTACGATACATCAGCATCATCATAGTGTTTATATAGGTAGTCAACAAGTTCATTTTAGAACTCAGTGCCAGTTGGCCACTTTCAGTTTACGTCGGTGGAAAATTTATTCATGGCGAAAATTATCATTTTGTGTATACAGAGACAACAACTGTACTGTCAAGGAAGACTGAAGTTTTTTTGTTGTTTTTTAAGTCCATAAGTGGCTTAGGGTGTATCAAGTTATTGAAATAAAATCGGTAATCTTTTGTCAAAACGGAAAACCTTTACCCTCGGGCAGAGACAGCCACAAAGAGACTGTCTTAAAACTGCCCACTTTTGTTGTGATACTGTACCGCATTGTATGCTTGCGAGCGAGTTGCCTACTCCCCCGGGGCAGTATGGCGCGCCTCTCACAGACGATATGCAGGGGACCCTATGAATTCATGCTTGCGGTACAACATATCCAGATTACCGATGTTCTCCACAACCATACATAACTATCACCAGGTGACCACATCCGCACGGCGCCCTTACGGGCCGTAAGTATGGGAAAGAAGAAGAAAGTACGTCCGTTTTTCTCGGATTCCTTCGACAAAATACGGGAGTTCGGCGCCTGCGAGCCTCGGGGTAGGCTACCCCGCAGTACACACCTGCACAGCAGGCAGGATGTTGCCTACCCAACAGGCGCTATGGGACCTTGCATAGGCTGAACTTAGGATGTTCGAAACGGCGATTGACGGACGTACTTTCTGGATGATCCCTAGCGGTGCGTACAGTCTACCCGCGGATGTACCAGCTGCTGGTCCATACATTGCATAGAACTATGGCGCAGGGCCATGCACTGTAGTACCACGCCCTCAATCAGAACCCCCCGCTTCTCGAGGACATGGCACTGGGCTGGGCGGGTCAGCTCCAACAGAGCGCTGGACGCGTTGGTCCTGGTGGTCCAGGTGTCTCCAAGGTGGCCATTACGTACGTCTGTGGCCCGGGTCGCTCCCCGCCTCCTCATGTCCCCGTCGTCCAGCTCCACCCCCACCCTGCCTGCCGACCCCGCCCCATGGCCGTCTCCGGGCACCGCATCCACGACGACAACCACGACGACGACGACAGAGCTTCATGAAAACTTTTTATTATTACTCTTCACGCCGGGCGGAGGCTTATTTTCGGCTTCGCCTTCTCCTCCCCGACTACCTCCCATTAACATACCCATATCAAGACCTGCAGGCTCTGTCGGGGCACACCCTGGCTCGCCTCTGTGTGTGTGTGTGTGTGTGTGTGTGCGAGTGAGTGCGTGTGTATGTGCGCGCGTCTGTGTGCGTTGCCCGAGCCTCTTGTTATTTTTCCGGTCTCCAGTATACCTCGCAGGACGCAGGGACACCTCTCGCGCCTGCCTGGGCCTCGCCGCCGCCTGCCCACCACGACGACGTCTAATCAGACCGGTCCAGCAGCGCCGGTGCCGCGTATGAAGATCGCTTTCTTCTGCTTCCTACTTCCGTTCTGGTGGGGGATTTATGACGGGGAATAACCGCAGCAGGGCTATTGGAAGGTGGAAGGTCTTGAGGTCGGCCAGCGGGCGTCCACCGCCACCGCAGAGCAAAATGCGATCGGGACAAGGTTCAGCGGGTCTTTAAGCAGCCTGTCAGGAGCGTGCGGGGCGGGCCTCCTCCGGCTCGGCTTGGACGCGTATTGGATACCTAGCATGCTTCGCGCGGCTGCATAACAAAGCAGGGACATTATTTGCTTAACAGAACTGCATTGCCGGCTGGCGGGGCAGGGCGG